AAGAGGAAGAAGACAGGGAGAGAGGGAGAGGGAGGGGGGAGGGAGAAGGGGAGAAGGGGGAAAGGGAGGGAGAGAAGGAGGAAGAGGGAGAGGGAGAGAGGGAGAAGGAGAGGGAGAGAGGGAGGGGGAGGGGGAGAAGGGGAGAGGAAGGAGGGGGAGAGAGGGAGAGGGGGAGGATGAAAAGGAGGGAGGGGGAAAGGGAGAGGGAGAGGGAGAGAGGGAGAGAGAAAGGATTCTTGGGACAGGCTGGCAAGCTAGACCAGCAGGAACTAGTCAGCTCCAGGTTTAGCAAGAGGCCTTTACTCCATAATGCGCAGAACTATGGAAGAAGACACCCAATGTCAACCTCCGGCCTCCTACTTGTGCACATGCACACACACAAACACATATCATGCATACATACCATAACACATCACATGCACACACACAAAAAGAAAAGAGAATATTATTGCTGCAGCAGCAAAGCTGGAGGGGCTGAGCCATCTAAGCCCTTTGGAAGTCAAGGCTCAGACATCAAAAATGGTGCTACTGGATTTGGTGTTTTCCCTGATGGTTTTCAGTCTTGCTTCGATCCAATATTTCCTCACTATGCTCCATTCTTCCCGTTTGGAATGGGATTGTGTATTTGGTTCCATTGTACATTGAAAGTATGTAATGTGTCTTTTGATTTTTCAGGGGTTTACACTCTAAGAAGTGAGTTTGGACTCTGGACTTTTGAGTAGTATTGAGATGATTAAAGACTATGGGGACTTTTGAGTTTGAACTAAATGCAATTTTCACTTTGATATGGTCCTGAGACTATGGGGGCCAGGAAATGGAATGTGATGACTTAAATGAGAATGCCTCCGACTGACTCCGAATATATACTTGGACACTCGGTCTCCAGCTGGCAGTGCTGTTTGGGGAGCCATGGACTCTTTAGAAGGTACGGCTGTGATGGAGGAAGCCCATTACTGGGGGCAGGCTTTGACAGCACATAGCTTCACACTTCCAGTCTGCTCTCTGTTTCTTGTGCCTGCTTGAAGATTGCTTTGGGCTTTCTGCTCCTGCACCGCCTGCTGCCGTGCCTCCTCCACCGTGATGGACTCTTACCCTCTCAAACAGTAAGCTAAATAAACCCTTTCTTCTATAAGTTGCCTTTGTGTTTCATCCCAGCAACAAGAAGGTAATCAATACAATAAAAAAATTATAAAAAACTTTAACAGAATAAATTCAGAAACTAAGATGAAAGGAAGTCTTTAACACAAACTAGCAAAACTCACTCAGAAGTAAAATATATAACAGAATATGTTATCTATTTCATCACAAATGGTTCATTAACATAAAAACTAAGGATACATTAAGGTACCAAAAATGTTATTCATAAGGTTCACAGAGGATATTTTGGTTTGGGATTTTTTTTATTTGGGGGGGGGATGTTCTTTTTGTTTTGTTTTGTTTTAAACAGGACTCCTTGTGATCCCAGGAGGCCTGAAACTCACTATACAGAATTAAAATTTTAAGAAGGCCCATTCATCAGAAAATTTTTAAATTTTCTATTTAACAATTCCTGGATGGAGACTACAAATAGAAATTATATAACCTCTAGAACATGATGAGGAAACACTGCATTCCAGAATCCACAGGACACTTTTAAAACAGCGAAAAGCCTTAAAAACATAAATTTAAAAAAAAAATATGTGCTCTCCCTAGCTAAATCTGGGGCAATGCTTGCAATAGAAAGTAACAGTCATAATAAAAAATTCACAGTGAAGAGAAAAAAAAGGGGGGGGGGAGGAAAAGCTACTCCTTATAGCAAAGTGCCAATTCATAAATAGAAAAGGCATGATTATGCTAGAAAATCAGCATTTGGCAACCATCACTACTAACTAATTCAAGCAAGAATCAAGGATGCCAAAGCTGTGGTATGTGTATGAAGGTGTGAGAAGCACTGCTTAACTACAGAAGGAAGCTCTGGTGATTAAAACTGGCCGCAGCTGACTTTCTGGGCCTTGAAAAGAGCCCAGCACTCTTTCTGGGCTAT